ATTTAAAAAAAAAAATCATCTTTCAGTGGTCTTTTAATTTCAGAAATATAACATGGGAATGGATATGAATGTGAAGACAAGCATGTAGGAGATAAGGGGGCTGTGTTTATAAACAAGATTTTCCAGAATAATTACTATCTGGAAAAAAAAGCTTTTTAAAGAAAGTTGCATTCTAATCTTCATGATAGTTTAAAAAAACCCACACTACTCTGAAAACCAGATACAATCCAAATGAATCTGAAACATCTAGAGTAAAAACACTTTCACTGCTCAGCATGTCATAAAATTAATTAGGCTTGACTGAGCTACATTTTTGAGATGCAGGAGAGCACCTAGCTGAAGAAACAGCATAGCTAACATCTGTGGCTTGAGTTATGCCCCCTCAAATGAAGATACTTCATTTGTGTATCAAGAAGATATACACCCTCTGGTTTTATTTATTTATGGAGTTGGTGCCATTATCTTTAGTATCTAAAATGAGGCAGCAGAAAAATCAGCACTTCAGATTTTTAATTTTTAAAAACTGAATGTATTGCTTTAAACAAAAGCTTTTCAGGCAGAAAGTACCTACAGATATCACATAACCTTCCTCCCCAACACATCCATTTTTAATTTTTTTTTTATACACACTAATACACAGAACCTTACTTAAAAGTTGTGAGGTCAGTGGCTGATCATACCATGAGAACGTGAGGATCTACTTGTCTTTAGAATCATCCCCAGGAGAGGTAAATTTAACAAACGGGTAAGAGGCTGATCCCCAGATGTTGTACTCTTTAGATTACTTCTACAAAAATAATCTATGGGGCCTTCAATATCAGATTACACAGTACCATGGAACAGCAGAAAAAAACCTTAATTTTCTTAAACTAATTTTTTCTCTTTGTAACTCAGTCAAGGGGGGTTTATCCCTACAAAAAATATATACATGTCCAAGCAAGTTCAGCAATCTTGACTTCTTCAAATATAAAGTTGCCTGTCTTTACAATGAAGTCCAAAATCAGCACAGTCAGCTCTGGAAAGCATACGCAATACTTCACAGTTCTGTTCTATCACTTGTACTCCAAAAAAAAACAGGCCCAAATGAAAAACAAATTCTGGAAATTATAAAAGAAATATTAAAAACTATGAACAGACATTAATAATATTATTAGTCACTGACCTTTGATGAACTTGAAACTAAGAGATGTTGACTGCATTGTTATTTTCACAATGGTAAAGGGTTAACTGTAGCATGCACAACAGTTGTAAACAGTAAAGACATTTTTAGCAGATTATCAACTAGAAGGGAAAATAGTGAGACAGTAACATTCAGTGTGAAGAAACACTATTTTAATTGATATAGCTAAAACTGCAGAAGGCTGGAAAGCTTCAGTAAGAATAGGTAAATGCAGTAAGATGGTACATGCAATTTAAAGTCTATCTCAACTTTGAAGTTTTTTGAAGCACAATGAAGTGCTACTTTTACAGAGAAAGTCTCAAATACAAATTCACTGGCAACATGGGATAAGAGAAAGGAGAAGCTGAATATCCTTATGGAAATCTGGAAAAACTCACATTGAGCAAGGAGCGGCTTAACATGTTTTCTTTACTAGAACAAGAAGGGTAGCAGATAGTTCAGAAAGCTTTAAATGTTGATTATCTAATATTTGGCCAGCAGTACCCAACTAGAAAGCCCATTTCCTACAGAATTCAAGGTAGTGGGGCTCTTGGGGTAAATCTTTGTAGTCAGTGTTCTTAAACAGGCTTACTCTCCATTGTATCTATGGCATTTTTTTTGCCTCACAAAAAAAACAGACAACCAAAAACCACAGTCAAAGACACAGCAACTCACTTTGCATATAACTGGACACCTCACAACCACAGGTGGTGATGGTGGTTATCCCCATCAACACATGACAAAGTGTAACATTAAAAGCTCATTCTTTCCCTTTGAGCAATAAAAGAGACAGGCACTCCTTAGCTTTCATTGTTTCACTATTATTTTTCGTCTCACAGCATTGTCATATATCTCTTCCTACAGACATTTTCTAATGTATTTTTAACTCCCAGCGCTTATTACTTTTTGTAGGTTTTTCATCTCCAGAAGAAACTTAATCCACAACTAAAAAGTTACCATATAACCTGCAGGTTACTCTACAACTCATTCTTGTCATTCTTCCAATTCCCCTCTCCACCCTCTTCCAGCTTCTCTTGGCCACAGAGGGAGCAATTGAAATAAGAGTTTAAGAGTGTAATCTATCTGCAGAGCAAAGGAAAAGCAAGCCAGCAGTAGAGGAGAAAGAACACAAAATGCTAAAGCACAGACAATGGGTGAAAGTAAGCTACATCAAGCCCTACTTAAAGAGTACCTCTTCTTGTTTCAAAAAAGGTGCATGCACATAAGAACTTTGTAACAGTAAAGGTCATCTTATAAAAATATTAGTTATAGCTTCCAAAATAGTTTTTAACCCTGACAGAAAAATGTAATTATTTACTTGGCACCACTTATGTTGTGCTCTGAAAGTACCAAGGAGATTAGCTGACACTATTTTACTGTTCAATAAGATAAACTTCCCCCTGCAATCACAGAACTTTCAATGGTTTTGGACAGGCACCATAATACAAATTTGGTGCCTTTAATACAGCTCTTTTCATCAAGATGTTGCATGGATGTACTTTGTAATTGAATTCTTTATCAAAAATAGTTACTGAAAACCTTGGTGCTCCTTTCCAGAAAAACCAAACAAGGACTACACTTGTTTAATACTGCATTGTTCATGTCCCCCATTATTTCTTCAGGACAGCTCCACAGCACATATTAGAATCTGCAGAATGCAAACAAGTATTTATTTTTGTTGCTGGGCACACTACTTAGTAGACATATTTTCTGTGTTATTTCCAACAATAAAAGAGGCTGAATATCTACTCCATATAAATCACAAATAGAAATTACAAGCTAAATTGTGTCAGAAATTTTATGTTTGTGCAATTAATACACAGCTCCTCAGCTCCTGCTCCAGCTCTCCTGCTGCCCTTTTTCATGCCACTCCAACTACATGTGAATTAGCAAGTAGTGTGGCCCAGCACAAGCAGATTTCTTGAGTGGGTGCTGAGGACTCGACACATTAAAAGGTGCTTTACTTAAGGCTAGATCTAAACTGCTGCTGTGGTCCTGAGGCCTACTCGCATGCAACAGCCATGTGTCTGAAAAACAGCTTCTGTTTTCATTTCAGTCAGAAGAAACCCTGTGCAGTCTCAGGAAGCTTTGACAATAAAAGAGTATAAGGAAATACCACTTTACAAGTGCACACTCCCAAACTGAACTGCAAAGCCAAAGCAGACCTACCCACCAAGTTCAGAGATGAAGACAAGAGATAACTGAACCCCCTGAAGTATTTACAGAATTAATTAGTTAGGTCCTCAGCACAGCTGCTTCTCCAGAGCTGCTCCTGTTGTGCCACACTACTTATTAACTATACGGACATCTCTAGTGCTAGCTGCTCACATGTCAGATGCACACATCCACAGCTACAGTCTGCATTTCTCTATATTGTCATATGTTGATGATATACTGGTATGGTACAGCAGAGTGACATCACATGTCCTCTTGCTGGACTGCTGTTCACCTACTGCCTCTCTGCACTGCAGCATCTGCCTGCCAAGCAGGTAAGCATCCACAATGATGCAGGCAGAGGCATTTCAGGGCCCCAGGAGAAATGGCCTGTCCCTGACAATACTGAAAGGATTTATTTCAGCCTTGTTTTTAAACAAGTCTGGGGGTTCAAGAAGAAACCAAGGCCATCCTTCCTTCCACCAAAATAAATATAAGTTCCTAGACCCCCTCCCAAGAGGGTTGCCTTCAATTTTGTCACTAGAATAACAACATATCTGGAAATACTCTACCCCCAGAGGTGTAAGTGCTGATTTTTAATATTTTTTTTCTTTGCCTCCTAATTCTACCCCTTGCACCTGGGAAGCAGAGGATATCCACAGTCCCCTGACGTCTGAAGGGAGCATACATTGTAAAATGCATTAGAAACAGACAAATCTAAAGAATCTTATTCCAGTTATGTCTCAAATCCACCTTTAATTTGGCTCCTAAACAGGGTAAGTCTTCAAAACTGCTAATTCATCTAAAAGTGATCAAGGTGAATGACAGTACTTCACCTACATACTTCAACCATTCATACAATATAACAATAATTTTAAAAATAAAAACCTGAACTTAACTGCATTCTCCCAAATTCCACTTACACTGTGAACAGTCTGCTTACAATCCTTTGTGTGACTACTTGTTTAGCAAACAGATATTTAATCTTATTCTAGCATTTACAGTAGCCATGGATCCTTAAGGAAAATAATCCTATTAATTCAGCCTCTCTCATGATTTGTTTAAAGAATAGCTCAACAAAAAGATATTTCCCTCTACTATATGTCATTGTGGCATCTCTTCCCAATCTGCTTCACATATCTGCTTCAAGTGTTTCTACTTTACTAGTCAGGATTGCTCTATGTTGTAGCTTTGTGCAGATAACCCTACAAGAACAGTAGTGAAAAGCTGACTTCTCTTCCTAGGTGACACTCACGTGAGGGTGATTACCAGAAACATCTTTTCCTAGTATAGGGAAGGAAAGTATAAAGGCCCTTTCTCTCTGTGCAACCAACTAACATCATTAGCCACCAGTTACCACTCCTTGATTTTGTGCCGAATAGTGGCTACAGTGTAAATGTAAATGTAAGAATTTTAGTTTCTACAAGCTGTTAATGATTCCCAACTCATGACAAATGCAAACAGCACACCATATACCACATGCCAAAGCACTATCATTCCCTTCTCTGACAGAAGATGTAATGCTGTGCTCTAAGATAGAGAACCAGATCACTGATTTAGTCACCTGACCGGCGTGCTGACTCTACTAAAAGATCTTATCCAACATACCTTTATAAAAGCTACTGTCATGCACTTTATTCTACTATTTGTTTTTCAAACTACATGATTGACAATAAACAATATTTACCTGCTTCTTCTTTAATAAATGACAAATCTTCTTCTGGATATGGGACCGATGGTTGCAACACTGAGCAATCTTCCGAGTTCTCTTCAGTATTAGGTGGTATATTATAAATAAATCTCTTTGCAGTTTGATTTTTCCTTCTTGCTTTCCCAGGTTCTTGAACCGATTGTCCTTGTGCACCCATGTCATTCCATACGAAAACTTTTCCCTCACCTTGAGATTCATTTTCAGCCATTTCAGGAGAGCTGTCCTGGACCCAACTGCAGTCATTCATTTGGTAGCTTTCCATTTGGCCCTCATCAATAGAATAAGTATCATTCTCAGTTTTTATGCTACTTGCCAAGTTGGTAAGGTTTCGTGTTGCCCAGAAGCTGGCAACCTTCTGATCCCTCGGAGACAAACCATCCCTACTAACGGATCTCCTGTTGTAATCCACCACAACGGTCTCTGGAGCTTCTGATTTTATACTTATGTTTAAGGCATCTTTAATGAAGTTGCGGCAGGACTGGACAACCTCAGTCATCTGAAGGTAGCTGGCCACCGACATCACTTCAATGGCATTCTGGCTCGTAAGCACAAGGTTACCAGAATATAAGAAGTCCAAGATGACAGAAAAACCTTGAACGGCAACAACATCTAAATAGGTAACAGTGGTTTGGTTACGGCTTTCTTTGTTTGTAAAGCAATACAGAGTTTTAAAGAAGCGGCTGCCTGCAACCAGGATATTCTTGTGAGCTCTGAAGACCCTCCCACTCACCACAATATTAACATCACAAAGAATGCCTTTCTTCCTCTGCTCGTTGAGCTCTTGCAGAAGCTGATAGCAGTAAGAGTTCTCATTTGGCCTGCTGTTAAAATCACAGTATCCTTCATTATTCAGTTCTGACGGTAACTCTGACTCCTGCAATTAAAAAAAAACCACAGCCATAATTAGCTCTTAATGAATACTCTCCTTAGTCCTCCAACACTCTAATACGGATATGAAAACAAACTTAAGAAGATGTTATTCAAACGATTAAAAAAAAAAAAAATCTTTGTGATCATAAAGGCAGGCAGGAATACACAATTACAAAGATATTTCTGAAAACTAAGAATCACTATCTCATTCTGCACCTTCCGATCCCAGTTCTGAAATAAAATCAGAACTAGCAGAATTGCCTTATGGGCAAAGGAAACGAAACTTCGGCCACAAGTATGTAGAGATTTAGTTGAGCGCGGAGTACTTGTTTTTCTTAACCCAAATACATGCAAGATTCAGGAGTCCCTCTTTCAAAAGATTTAACTAGATGGTTTTCACATATACAACCCCCCCATCCTCACATAGAAATCTCCATTTAAACAAGTAAGTGGAATCTTGATAACTGATACAACATTTTCTAATCCTGAGAGATAACTACAAAAATATTAGGTCTGTGTCTCCCAATCTGTTTGCCTTGTATGTTTTAAAGAAAATATATTACTGAAGTAGTTATAATAGCAGTTATATTTCTTATGCAGTTCTACAAATTAGGCAGTTGTTCTGTATTTTTTAATTGTGGCAGGCTTAGGATTAAATAGCGATATTATATGACAAATGGACAGTTATCAAACAAAATTTAAGTCTCTATTATGTTACTGAGGTAAGATTCTGAAGTCAAGCTTCACTGAAGCTTTTTAGAGATGTGATCTCAAATACGGCTTGAAAATTTTGCTAGAAGTAGTATCAGATAATCCAACACCAAGAAATTAGTTGTTTTTAAAGATTAGTTCAGACAGTGAGAGGCTGATAAGTAACAAGCCATCTGAACTGGATTTTACAGCATGTAGAAGACAATAACTGATCTTTAGACAACCATGGTTCAGAGCTGCTACAAAGCAGCAGCTAGCAGAAAGTAGAAAATAACAGATTGATGTATTTGAGACCATACTTATATTGATGGACATGTACTGCCACCAAGATCAGCAATGATGACAAGAATGTTTTACACTGGCTCTCTAAGATTCTCTTCCCTAACAAATATGGGCAGTTCAAAACTGGCTGGCTCAAATCTGGTTTAGGATAAGAAGGTAAGATTTTGCACATGGTATAATTTTTTTTCTCCTCTCTAAAGCAACCTACAAATTTGGGGACTACTGGTATTGTTAAAGCTCAACTGCTTCAACATTACAGGTAAAAATCAGTATTAACAAGGTTATGTTAATGCTGTCATGAGCCATAATCTACAGTGGGACTAAAACATATGTTGCAGAAAAGTACTACCTTTAATTTGGGACTATGGCAGAAACCAGATTATATTTATTTATATATATATATAAAGTCACTTTCTACCACACAGCAACTGGTGCATTAAATCAGTACTCACCTCAAGTTATAACCCCAGCATGGATCACCGGGATGACAACTGAGGCTGTAACTACATCCTCCAAAATTCTTACATCTATAAGTCACAAATAATGCCCAGCATAACCAAAATAGAAACTGCACTATTTCAGCATCTCCTGCAGAGAAATTTCATTTTGCTCTCACATTCAAGTTGCTTCTAAATATGTACCCCTCAATGAAAATACGGGGTAGAATAAAAGCAATTAGGCTTCTATGTGAAAACAAGCCACAGATCTTTGTCCAACCTTGGCTTAATTTTTTCTGTGTGCTCTCTGCCATACCCAATTACTCCCTCAGATCAGAACTCTTGAACAGAAAGCATGTCCCAAACGCGTGACAGCTAAGTTTGTCATTCTTTCTCAGTGGATTTCGGATCTGGACTGGCTTCCTGTCACTCCAGCAACACAGCACTGTGTAGTTTCAAAACACCAATTACATTGACTTTGAATCAGATTAAAACAAAAATTATCATACCCTGAAGTGTTGTCACTCTAGTCAAAGTCAATCATCAGTGAATTGCACCTCACCCAGCATATGTTAAGTAGACATTAGGATAACTGACAATTTAATTTTTAGAGAACATGTTTAACACCGTATAAAATTTTAAAATAATCTGCAGCAGTTCTTTTCTTTTCACAAATGTCTGATTAAAGTATGAAAACAGAGTACCTTTTAACTGACCATGTGTATATATCCAATCAAGTTGATAAAAATTAAAAATTAGTATTTTTTTTTGTTTTCCTAAGATAATTACATGCCAGCATGGTATAAAGGAGCTGCAGATCAAAAATGTGCTACAGAAACACAAGACTGAAGTCTTCCTTATGAGAAGACCAGAAGGCTGAGTGAAAATAAGATGCATAAAGCAACTAATATCCAAGCTATAGGGGTGTGCGGGGAGGGGGGAAGAGATCAGTATTACAGCTTTACATAAACAGATTTTTTAAACTAACCATAATATTGGAAACAACTATTCAACTGTTGATGTGGAAATAGCTGACCCTAATGTTATACCTCAAATCAAATTAACACCCTGACATCTGAACAGTAAATATATGTACACCAAGTGTCACAGGTAGAATTCACATTTACTGAAAAACAAACAAAAATATCAATATTCATCAGGGAGTTTTAAACATCTTGCCTTTGAAGTGTACTTTTTCCATAGAACAGGAGGTAAGGTGCAGAAAATAATTACACAAAATCAAATAAGTATATTTTCAAGCTTCTGTTACTTATGTTGTGCTCATGGCACATCATAATAGAGGTACTGTTTCTCTGATGAGAACCACAAACTAATTATATTTGCTTACATGTCAATTATATTTTCATAATACAGACCAAATATTCCCATCACTCAAGTTATCTCAACCTCAAACAAACTCATCCTTTAATAAACACTGATAAGAAATCTGGAATAAAAATCAGGACTATTTAAGTTTCATTTGTAGTATTTATTTGCATCAGCATTCTAAATCTGAAAAAGTTTCTCTCTGTAGGTGAGATTAAGCAGCAGTCTAACAGAACAGGCACTGTTTAGAGAAACTAATATTGTGCTCAGTTTCAATTAGACTCATTTGTATACACCCACATAAAAATGACTTTCATATGTATAATTCACTAATTAAACTTGCCTAAAAGCTAACAGAAGCAGAAAGATGACCGAAATCCGCTATTAGAAACTTGCTTTTCTTTATCCTCCTGTGCCATCAGCATACTCGGCCAGCCGGAATGGGGGAAGGAAAAAAAAAACCCAAACAAAACCAAAACAAATCTAACCATAGATTCTATCTCAGCTGTATGTATATGAAAAGTAGTTATGCCGCAGTTGGCTAATCCCTTCTCTATTACCACACCTTAAGCTACAGCAGCCTCCTATGACCCCAAATTGATTCTTGTCCTGAAAAATGGATCCTCTAACAGAAGTCAGTTATCAAGGAACTTCTTAAGCATGTGCAGCTACGGAAGAAAATTGTTTCAAAATACAGTCCTATCAGTTGCACACGTGATGCTCTGCTGCTATCTGACACGCCATAGCATCACTCACAGAAAACTCTGACATTTTAAATTGTTCCATTAAGTACCTAATATCCAATCAAGTAGTTTGAAGTCTGGTAAAAATGCTACATAGAAATACAGTAAATTATAGCCCTTACTCTGAGGGCCTGGCTTACTCCTCAACTTCTTTACTCTGCCAAGAATAATTCAAGAAGTTAACTTAGCACAATATAATGTAACTTCTACATCTGAAGCACGACTTCTATTCATCACTGCTCACATAAAGCAAACAATTATGGTTTACATGGAAAAAATAACACATCGAAGGCCTTCCTCCTTTTGGAGAGCTTCTGCTTTAAAGCAACAAGCCTCTTAGGTTGGAGAAGGCTTTTCTGGCAGCATTTCCAAAGCTCAGCTTCAAATTATGTCCAGAGAGAAAATGTTTTAAGAAGCTGCTTTAAGGGGAAGAACCCCTAGCAACCAATAAAACTGCATCTTATGGGTGTAAATTCATCACAGAATTAAGATATTTTTAAAATACTGTCCTAGGTAAGCGTATACTTCCTAATATTTTTGCAGCACAATAGTCCTTTTATTAAAAAAAAAACAAACAGAAGTAGTTTCAAGCTGGCTATATCTTTCCTTAAGCTTTAATATGGAGACAGATTATTTAAAAAACTAAAGAGTCAAGATTTTTGATTCAAAAAGAAGCACCAACTGATAGCTCAATACATTACAGCAGCTGCAACCACTTGTGATGTATTTTGGCATTCCAAATTAAATGTATCCCAAAAATAAACCAAAATCATCACTCATTTCCAATATCCAACAGCCGTATAGAAATTTCCACTGCTCTACTGTCTTAACACCTACAATTTCCTTTTTACACTTGAACAGTGGCACTGTGCCATATGTTTATTAACAGCTGTTAAACATGCCCTGCAGTTGAAGCTTGTCAAGTAAAGAATGCATGTGTGTTGTTTCTAAGACAAAGGCTGAAAGATCTCTCCCCAGTTTCATTAAATCTGAACAGCTTCACTGCCTCATTATGGTATGTTTGGAAATATGGTCAGGCTACAAATTACCTACTTTGGTTCAAAGTATCTGGTATCAGGGCATTAAAGAAAAAATGGGGCTACTGTTTTGATATTAGCTTAAACATATGTACCGAGAGAAATTCAAATGCTATTAAAAGTATGAAAGGATATAGAAATTAAACATAAAAGCGGAAAGAAAACAGATTCTTAATCAGTTTTTTGATAAAGCAAGGGTAACCTGAAAGTGCACCACAAATACAACTACACTGACTCTTGAAAAACTGCAGTTCCTCCTCCTAAGAAGTGAAATGTAATTGCACAAGGATGCATCCAGCACTGTTTTCCACTTAAAAACACCAGTTACAGAAGCTTACTTTGTCCACACCTTATCTGGTATAAAAGAACCAATGACACATTTATCCTACGGTTTCATTTATTGTAATGGTTACTACAAGTATTTTTTTTCTTGAACTGACAGGGGTATAAAAGCAGAAACTTGTTTTTTACAAAGATTCCTATGACAATGAAAGGTTATCTTCAAATAAATACTTAGATTAACATTTAGGCTGCTGTGACACACAAGCCAATATTCTGTCCCTCTCTTCTGCCCTCCCAGTATTTAACAGTCTTACAACATTTCGGGGTAGTAAGACAAAGAAAAAAACCTCCTAAGTTTAGTAGGAAAAACTGCTTGCAACGGGTCTTATTCATGCTTAGCTTCATTGAAGTGACAGAAACTTCTGATTATGACATGAATTAGCAACATCTGCCACAAGAGGCTACACAGTGACCAAACACACCTTTACAGGTAACCATTCACAACTCAAAGCTAGAAACTAGGATGATACTAAGGAACGTACTGCAATAAGAACATTAGAACAAAAAAGAACATTTTCAAAGATATAAGGAGGTAAAATAACTTTCATTCTTAAGTTTCAAAATTAGAAACAAGTTATTTAAAGCTAGTTAGGCTAAAACACGGGAGTGTGAATAGCAACCCCCTGATTGGAGGAAACTGCTAAGACGACCTACTGCCATGAAATGTCTGTAACAATAGCTGTCCTAGAAATACAGTCACTGAAAAGGTAGTATGACTCATCCTGAAGGTGAATGTTGCATTTGTAAACTAAAAGTATTTTGGATAACTGATATTTATGCACTGTAAGGTTTTCCTTGCAGTCCTGAAGTAGTTTCACATAAAAAGCTCTAAGAAAACCTACATTCATCTCACGTTTTATCTGTCACCCTGATACCCTACCCAACATTAGAATAGCAGCTCTTGTCCAAGGTACCCCGAGCTCCTTAAAGCGCTCAATCAACTATCGCATTACGATTCGGACTCCAGATACACCTGTATTGTATTGGTGTTTTCATCAAAACTGAGTTCTAAATACTGAAAAACAAAATGTTCGGGAATTAACTCCGATTACCAGCTCAAGTTCAACAGTTCGAGTACTAGCCCAACCTGAACCACATCAGCTTGCGCCCGCTGGCAAGTTTAACACCGAACAGGCGATCTGAGTGCACTTCTGCAGCGCAGACATCCTGAGGAAGAAAGGCTGCAGCAGGCTGGTGATTCAACACGAGGATATTCCTTACTTTTTCTTCCACTTACGCTCTAGAGTTAGCCCTGTCCTACCCATCAGAGCAGCCCAGAAAAACAGTAATTTAAAGTTCAGCGGGGAACATGGAGTTTCACTAGTCCTAAAGCATTAGAGAGCGAGCATATGAACATGGCTCTCAGGAAACCACATGTTTATCTCAAACATACACCAAGCAACTGCAGACTTCTTGCTCAGAAACTCAAGCTAAAATAACACAATCGGGAAAAAGATTTAAGGGAGAAGGTCTTGACAACACAGAGCTATCCGATGAGTGCACAGGGACCGCACCGTTCAGAACAGCAGGCTAATCCCAACTTCACACTGGCAAGGACCAGCTTCATACGCAGTCGTGAGGCGGACACTACCGTCCCTCCTCCGGTACCGCAGGAGGAAGTTGTAACGAGTGTTTTTAAATCAGTGCTGCAACAGTGGTATTCGTACGCAACTTTTTCCCACACTGCCGGTTTATCTTCACGAGATAAACTAATGAAAACGGCACTCGCTACCTCCGACCAGGCAACGTTAACCAGGCGCAGCCATCAAGAACAGCCCGTGCCAAAGCCGCCGGGCTGCACACCGGCAGCGCCAGCAGCGCCGTGCCTGCCCAAATCCAGCGGAGTCTCCCCAAATCGGAAAGCGGACTCGCCTCCCGCTCCCGGGCAGCGAAAGCAGCGCGGCGCGCTCAGCCCCGCCGGGCAACAACAAACACGGGAAGCCATTTGAAGCAGTCAACGCACGTGGGCTTCCAACAACCCCCCAGCCCGCACGCCACAGGGCAGGCCGGCCTCTCCCCC